GCCTGTTGAACGAGGTGACCTTGCTTGGGTCCCAGGTGTACGGTTCCTAAAATGGCTGCCATATACACGTCCACTGATAGGAGACGCGGAAGGTATTAAACTGATCAGAACAATACAAAACACACCACAAATAAGGTTTCTCTCCTGTACCTCAAATGATGCTTAAGATTAGAAGCGGTTGAAAAGTATTTCTCAAGACTAACAAAATATATTTTTTTTAACATTCTCCACTTTGAACTTAAAATGACGCTTTGGAAGAGATTAAATATAATTAACATAGGCAGTAAAAATAAGGGTTTTTAGCCATACACTGTAACTTTAAAAACTACACATCCCATCTTCATAATTACATATTTGGAATCAGCACACTTAAAACATAAACATAACCAAAAATCAGCCAAATCCATCCAGGGGTTAAAAAGTTAGCTGGAGGTCCCTTTATGACCGACCGCAAGCACATTTTCCTGCCTAAAACAGTTCCATAGATTTGGGCTGTGCGGTCGGTCTATTTCAGGCTGAAAAAACGACTAAGTCCCATCGCCGAATGGGACTTAGTCTCTGCAGCTGTAAAACTAGTAGGGGAGAAGGTAGAGCTCAGCGGTGTTCGCGGAAATGTGTAGCCGATTTTAGTTCCATGAATTTGGCTACACATACCGCTGGACCTCATGTAATGATAAAAAGATGTCACACACGCACTGCTAAATTAATGTTAATCTCCCAGCATACACTAAGCGTGTTAAATCGTGCATTTCTGGGAGGTAAATTGCCTGCACACTTCAATTTCTGGGTGGTCTGCTCAGGTGTGTACTTGGTTCAGTAAGCCCCATTTACTGAACCAAGTGGGAATTAGCCAGGCAGGCAAAGGGTTTGCACCAGGTCTGGGGACACAGGGGACACCGTCTTTAAAGGGCAGTGTCCCCAACAAGTCTGGGACACGGCCTTAAAGGGGCAGTGTCCCAATCTTCCTGATGTCCCAAAAAAGGTGTTTAAAGGGCCAGCACCAGTCACATAAAGAGTCCATAAGCCCCAATATGCCCACCGACAGTCTTAAAGGGCCATACACACCAAATAAAAGTGCATACATTTTCACAATCTCCCAGGGGCCATAGTCATGCGGGGGGAGGCTGGCAAATAGGCTTCTCCACAACCCAGGGAAGCAGGGCAATTTGCCATTTAAAGGGCCCGTTACAAATAGCAGTTTGTAACAAGGTGTCAATCCATATCTGCCAGGTGACCCGATGTAGGGGGAACAGTCCCTATTCTGCTCTGTGTCAGTGTGTATTATGGTCTCTGAGGACAGGTGTCAATCCATATCTGCCAAGTGACCCTATGTAGGGGTAACAGTCTCTATTCTGCTCTGTGTCAGTGTGTATCAGGGATCCCTAGGACAGGTGTCAATCCATATCTGCCAAGTGACCCTATGTAGGGGGACCAGTCTCTATTCTGCTCTGTGTCCGTGTGCATCAGGGGCTCTGAGGACAGATGTCAATCCATATGTCAAGGTGTCAATATGTCATATGTCAGGTGTCAATCCATATTGATTGTGATTTAGGAATGTTAGGTGATTTCTGCCCTTTATGGATTAAAAACCAGACTCTGTATCAACTGTGTAATTTTCCATGGGAGTTTTGCCATGGATCCCCCTCCGGCATGCCACAGTCCAGGTGTTAGTCCCCTTGAAACAACTTTTCCATCACTGTTGTGGCCAGAAAGAGTCCCTGTGTGTTTTAAAATTCGCCTGCCCATTGAAGTCAATGGCGGTTCGGGCGGTTCGCCGGTTCGCGAACATTTGCGGAAGTTCGCGTTCGCCGTTCGCGAACCGAAAATTTCGGGTTCGCGACATCACTACACATTATATTCCAGACACACACTATATACGCACACTCACTTGATCTCCTATTCACATTCTGGGTCCTTTAAATACTAGACCCCTATACACACACACACACACACACACAAACATACTACACCACCTACACACACTACGTTCCTGACATACACACTCTGAATCCCCTATCCACACTCTAGATTCTTTGTAAGCAAACACATACTATATTCACTAAACACACACTCTCTACAACCCCTACAAACACTGCATCACCTATAAACACACACACTATAGCCAGTATGCACACACTTGCTACATCCCCTATACACACACTCTACAGCCCCTAGCCACACATGCATTACATTACAGCACAAACACAACATGACTAAAACCGACCTTATTACACAATACCACACCACAATCAGCTCACTCTACACACACGCAATCCCACAAGCAGGCTCCAAACACATGCACAATACATTTTCCTGGCCCTTTTTTTTCCTGGTATCCCATTTATAGAGACAACAGAGACAAATTGCAATGAAACACAGCACAAGCATGTTATTAATTTTGCTTGCACAGTGCAGAACAAATACAGGACCTTTTTCTCCTGCTAGAGCTCTTCTTCGCTCACTTTGAGAGGGGGCGTGCTTGTCATTGGTGATGACAAAACACACCCTCTTTGGCCCGCCCCTTTCTTAGTGGGCTGCTGTGATTAAAAAATTCCTGGGCTGAATTTTTTTTCCCAGTCCAGCTAAGATGGCTCTGCTTACAGAGAGTGAAAAAGCCTCTTGCACCGTTTCCATACAGTTTTCCGTTTCTTTGAAAACAGAATCTCACCACAAGGTACAGAGACCTTTGGCTGGTAATGCCCTGCTTGGTGGCTTTATGGCACAAATACCTCTCTCATATATTTTTCTGCATACATATGCTACCTGTGTGAGCAGGGTTTCTTAATTAAAGGGACACTATAGGCACCCAGGCCACTTCAGCTTATTGAAGTGGAACGGAGCAGTGCTCTTGTCAGTTTAACCTTTGTATAAGGACATATAGTGTCAGGTAAAATGATTAAATGCTTTTTCATTGGGTAGTCCTAATGTGATTGTGCATGCGCATTAGGTCGCCCACGCGAGGCAGAGCCTGACCCAAGGATGAGAGACATCACTACAGGTGGGTAGGGCTAGCGAATGGGACACTATAGGGTACTAATTCTATAGTTCTGGTAATACAACTTTGTATTCCTAGTACTATAGTTTCCCTTCAAAACAGCTTCCGGTATGTGAATGTATTAAACTCCCCCATTTCTTCCCTCCATCTCCCCATACAACATGTCCTCCCAAGTCATGGTGAATAATTCCTGAACAGTGAAATCTAATTAATGAAGTCCCTTCCTTCCCTCATCCTTTCCTTCATGTTCAAAACATTCTCTTTACCATTCACCCAGTTATCTCCTCATTCTTTAGCCTTCCCAGTGATGTCCCTCCAACTACCGTCTGCCTTGTCATGATACACCCATCCATCCCTCCCTCTTCTTAGTCATGATATCTGCTTTCCTGTCTTCTTCCCTTGCCCCCTGTGATGTCTCATTTCTTCCCTCCCTCAGCTATGAAAACTTCCTCTTCTTTGTTATAGGGTTATTTACTAAAGTGACAATCGAAATTGAATTCAAAATTCAAGCTTAAAAGAACATTATGGTGTAGGAGTGCCCAAAAGGTAGATCCCCAGATGTTTTAAAGCTACAGCTTCCATGGAATAATGATTTGCCATTCTAAAGGCATGCAAAGCTTTATGAGAGCTGTAGTTCTACACCATCTGGGGATCTATTTTTTGGGCACCCCTACTGTAGCATTAGGAATAAAAATCTGTATTCTGTAAAATCTGCATGTGAGTGCCGCATGCATTCAGACTTCTTCATAGGAAAGCATTGAAACATAGTTTCTAATTTTCTCTATGTATTTTATGAAAACTCATTCACTCAGGAATAAAATAAAAAGAGATTTAGACACGGGGAGCTATATAGAAGCAGATTAGACAGTGTCTACTTGTGGTGACAGATCCACTTTGAGTTGCTAAACTTTGGCTCTGTAACTCTAGAAAAGTTTGGAAAGAGAAGTACATAGCTGACTCTACAATACTGTTAATGGCTCAGACTATTTCATTCTGGAGGAATTGTCAGTGTGCTTGAACAGGTTGATCACATCCATGTTGCAATAACCAGCACCTTCGACTTGGATCTGTCATTCCATGTATTTCTCAGGATTTCTCTTGCGAAACAGTGGTGGAACACGCCAAAGGTCAGGTTTTTTGGTTTTGTTTTTTTTAGATTTCTTGATGACTCTTAAACTTATGCTTTATGACTATATAGTAAAATATTTCCCAAGGAGAGGGGGAAATCATAAAGCAATATCTCCACATTGTCCAAAATCTTTATCTGGTGTAGAGATGGATTTTTTTTAAAGGCAGAGACTAAACGGACCTTGATTAAAGTAAGTTTTGCAAAACATTTTTTCTTCAATTAAACTGACTTGCAGGCTTTGCCTATTACCGTCCCCAATGCATTTTTCACTTTACTATGTGCTTTGATTTTGAGGTTTGTTTGGTGCAAGAAGAAAAAAAAACCACCCGACATGATACCCACACTCCACCGAGACGTGAGGGGGGGGGGGGCAGGGGGTCTGCCTCTCCTGTATTTCAGTCTTTATTATCAAGCGACACACCTCCAAAGGGTGGTTGAGTGGTCTAAACAGGAGTTTTTTAAATAATGGAAAGAGGTGTAAGCAGTACATGTGGGTAGACTGATGACAACTCTACAGTGGCTGGATCCGATACATGAATCAAAACTGGCATCACCCCACCCTTTGTTACGAGCTATGGTTTGATATACGTAAGCTCCTAAACTTGAGCTTACCTACTTTCCCTCTTCCCCGAGCTTTATGGGAGAATAGAAAGGGGCTTTGGGAGAGACATTTACTCCAACACAATTCGCAAAAAAATATGTGTTGTAACAACATTGCGTGGTTCCAGTGGGTTTCAGGAGACCTCTTTCAAATTGCTTTCTTTTTTATATAAGCTGTTTTATATAAGCTGTTACATGCAATTGGGCCATCTATCAATGGCAGGTGTTGGAGAGGTGGGCACCGTTCTAGGCATATGGTATTATTATCCCCTGATCTGTTCCGACACCCTCATTGCTAGCTGTTTAGAGAAGCTTACTTGAGAGTATCTAGCATATGGTTCTGGTTTGAAATCTGCCCTCTTTCAACAGCTTTTGTTCATGGACAGTCTCCTTTAAGAAGGGGTGCCATAACCTTCTCCCGGCAGGTCCTCTTCCCTTAAGAGTCATGTGTGAGAGTAAAGCATTGATGTCTATGGAGGAGACCATGGGATTCTCCATAGATAAAGCCAATCCCCTGCACGGTCACTGGTGGAGACTGGGGCAATTGGCACTTCTAGAGGGTGGTACTTCCGCCCAGTGTCTAGAAATGTCAGGATTAGGAATAATACAGAGACAAAGTAGTCCCTACGTTGTCTCAGTATAGCTCTTGACTGGGTTGGAGGTACAGTGAAATTCTAACACAGTCAATACGAGTATTTCATAACAATTTTATGAAATATTCCTTTTGCAGCGGGATGGGACGGTGTGACAGTGCCACTTTAAGCAAGGGACTTTACTCAAATATATAATCTCTCTCTCTCTCTCTATATATATATATATATATATATATATATATATATATATATATATAAAACCAGTGTGGTGACAAGGGGAGATTACATTATTGACACAGAACACTGTGTCGCTTGCCACTAATATTTTTAATAACTCCTAATTGTACTTACCCACCATATTCTTTAAAACGCTCAGTCACTCTACAGCTGAGACATTGTGAAGCTTCAAACTGCAGGACTGGGGCTGTGACTCTGAAAATTGATCTGATTTCAGTCTGCTTTAATCTGTAATGATTGCTGATTCTGTAAACCATGTTAACTGCAAAGGTAATAAGGTGTCTATCAGTACCAGTGGTGTATCCTGGTTTTGTGCTGCCCTAGGCAGGACAAAACTCAGGCGCCCCCCCCCCCCCCCCCCCCCCCCAACCCTTCCCCCGCCCCACCTTCTAAATACACACACACACACAGTCAGACACATACACAAACACACACACAGTCAGACACATACACAAACACACACACACAGTCAGACACATACACACACACACACACAGTCAGACACATACACAGACACAAACAGTCAGACACAAGCACACACACATACACAGTCAGACACACACACACACACAGTCAGACACACACACACACACAGTCACACACATACACAGACACAAACACAGTCAGACACACACACACAGTCGGAGCCTAAGCTTGGTCAGTGCCTGAGTCGGTGTAACAGATCAGATGTACAAATGTTCTCTGAACTAAACACACACACACACAGTCAGACACATACACAGACACAAACACACACTCACACAGTCAGACACATACACAGACACAAACACACACACACACTCACAGAAACACACACAGTCAGACACAAACACACACACACATTAACTTTGCAATTTAAATCCCCCCCCCAACCTCCTTACCTTTGGGAGTGCTGGGGGGGGGGTCTCTCTCCCTGGTGGTCCAGTGGCTGCAGGGCGGGCGGCCGGCGAGGGAGCACTTCCCATGAGCTGACTGCTCAGCTCCCTCGCGCGTCGGCTGCAGAGTGAGGCTGGGAACCGGAAGATGACGGGCAGTCAGCTCATGGGAAGTGCTCCCTCGCCGGCCGCCCGGGATGTCAGTTAGCCGCAAGGCTAACTAGGCATTTGCCCTGGGCATTTGGGGGGCGGCGTTTTTTGCCGCCCCCTGAAAAATGCCGCCCAAGGCAAATGCCTTGTTTGCCTCGCGGCTAATACGTCCCTGATCAGTACCCTGCTTTAATCCTGTGTACACTGTGTGCCAATGCTAATAGTGAGTCAGGAGGAGCTTACATGGTTGGATTCTATATTTATGCTTTAACCATGTGCATATTGTGCGCTGATAGCTTATAGCTCATAACATCAGCAATATTAATAGAAAGCTAACGTTATCATAGCATGAACACTACTGACAATAAGATCATGTAAGGAAGAGCTAAGAGAGGTATAAGAAGATAGAGAGAGACATAGAGAGAGAGCATTATACAGACATGTACTGTGTGGGTATCTTTGTACTGCAGCTCTGTGTAATCCATTACAGTGATCATGGCTGTGTGGGGTAGTTGTATTCCCTTATTGTGCCCAGCTCTGTGTGTTATTTATCTGCATTTTACAAGCTCTGCCTGTTGTATGGGTATCTGTAATCTATCCAGGTCTGTGCATTGTATAGATACATTTATTTTGTGTCCAGCTCTCTGTATTATATCTCTATTTTGTTTTAATCTCAGGCATCAGACATCCCAAGTCTTACTGAGGTTCTGTGAGATTCCTGCATTTTGAATGCGACACCCTGACACCAGCTGGGTGATCTCTTGTGTCAGTGAGCTTTCATGGTGTTGCATCAAAAGTATTTTCTTCAATAATAGGAACACTCCTCACCATATCTAAAAACAGCTTACAAATGATGCAGTTCTTCTGTCTGCATCATTTGCAAGCCCTCCCCCCCCCCCACCCCTTTCCCCCCAGAACAAACGTTCAGTCTGTTTTAGGGCAAATAACCAATGATTCCGTGACATTTGTGAATGTGCTTTTCAATTCATAATACAGCTAGCAGTCCTAGTGTTGCAACAGATGCCAATTTTGCACAGAATTGACATTAGCCAGACTAGACCTTCTGGACTGGTTAATGACGCTGCACATACAGACTCCTGGCACCATAACCACTTCAATAGTGGTCATAATGCTTGAGTAACTCTTTAAATCCAAGCTGTAAGGAACATAGTGAATTCAAAGTGAATTCCACATTTTAAGTCACAATAGCCAATTTGGAGAAACTAAAATAAAAACAATTTGCTATTTTGGCCTAGAATTTGAAATTCTATTTTTATTTCTAACAATTCACTCTTTAGAATTGTGCATTCTATTCAGCCTTGTTCATTCCCCACCATCAACTTCCTTTTCCCTTTACCCTTGGGCATTTTACCTTATTGGAGACGAAGCCTGTCCAACACAACCCAGAGGGCTGTTGGGAGGGAGGCCACTCCCCCTACACCAAGTTACCATGAAATTCTGAATCAGACAGGTTTGTATGACAACCGCAGATACAGGCATGTCAAATGAGTACAGTTATATGCAATTATAAAGATTCCCCCCCACTGGACTGGTAGTAGGTCCTCCATTAGGATATTAAAGCCCATACGTTTGTCAGAAGCTAGACCAACTTGTGGCACTATAATGTTATGTGGTCTGGTTAGGATAATACACTGCTGAAAAAAAATAAAGGGAACACAATGTAACTCCAAGTCAATCACACTTCTGTGAAATCAAACTGTCCACTTAGGAAGCAACACTGAGTGACAATCAATTTCACATGCTGTTGTGCAAATAGGATAGACAACAGGTGGAAATTGTAGGCAATTAGCAAGACACCCCCAATAAAGGAGTGGTTCTGCAGGTGGTGACCACAGACCACTTCTCGGTTCCTATGCTTCCTGGCTGATGTTTTGGTCACTTTTGAATGTTGGCGGAGCTTTCACTCTAGTGGTAGCATGAGACGGAGTCTACAACTCACACAAGTGGCTCAGGTAGTGCAGTTCATCCAGGATGGCACATCAATGCGAGCTGTGGCAAGAAGGTTTGCTGTGTCTGTCAGCGTAGTGTCCAGAGCATGGAGGCGCTGCCAGGAGACAGGCCAGTACATTAGGAGACGTGGAGGAGGCTGTAGGAGGGCAACAACCCAGCAGCAGGACCGCTACCTCCACCTTTGTGCAAGGAGGAACAGGAGGAGCACTGCCAGAGCCCTGCAGAATCACCTCCAGCAGGCTACAAATGTGCATGTGTCTGCTCAAACTGTCAGAAACAGACTCCATGAGGGTGGTATGAGGGCCCGACGTCCACAGGTGGGGGTTGTGCTTACAGCCCAACACCGTGCAGGACGTTTGGCATTTGCCAGAGAACACCAAGATTGGCAAATTCGCCACTGGTGCCCTGTGCTCTTCACAGATGAAAGCAAGTTCACACTGAGCACATGTGACAGACATGACAGAGTCTGAAGACGCCGTGGAGAACGTTTTGCTGCATGCAACATCCTCCAACATAACCAGTTTGGCAGTGGGTCAGTAATGTTATGGGGTGGCATTTCTTTGGGGGGCCGCACAGCCCTCCATGTGCTCGCCAGAGGTAGCCTGACTGCCATTACTGAGATGAGATCCTCAGACCCTTTGTGAGACCATATTCTGGTGCGGTTGGCCCTGGGTTCCTCCTAATGCAAGACAATGCTAGACCTCATGTGGCTGGAGAGTGTCAGCAGTTCCTTGAAGACGAAGGCATTGATGCTATGGACTGGACCGACCGTTCCCCAGACCTGAATCCAGTTGAGCATATCTGGGACATCATGTTTCGCTCCATCCACCAACGTCATGTTGCACCACAGACTGTCCAGGAGTTGGCAGATGCTTTAGTCCAGGTCTGGGAGTAGATCCCTCAGGAGACCATCCGCCACCTCATCAGGAGCATGCACAGGCGGTGTAGGGAGGTCATACAGGCACGTGGAGGCCACACACACTAATGAGCCTAATTTTGACTTGTTTTAAGGACATTACATCAAAGTTGGATCAGCATGTAGTGTGTTTTTCCACTTAACTTTTGAGTGTGACTCCAAAGCCAAACCTCCATGGGTTGAAAAATTTGATTTCCATTTTTTAATTTGTGTGATTTTGTTGTCCGCACATTCAACTATGTTAAGAACAAAGTATTTCAGAAGAATATGTTTGTGTTCCCTTTATTTTTTGAGCAGTGTATAACTATCACATCAGTCTTGGCAGGGGGCTCCAAAACAGGTGCTCCCACTTTAAGTATATGGTAGCCCTAAAACAATACTGGCCATCTGCAAGTCTTATGCCTGCTCCTCCCTTATTATCTCAGAGCAGTCAGAGGTTATTTATGGAGTGCAGCAGTCTTTGATTACTGAGCTTATAGATAGGGTGACCAGACGTCCCTGTTTTACACGTTTTTTGTTGATTTGTCCCAAAAGGTTTCCCGTTTTTTTGGCAGAAAGGCAGCCAATGTGCTGGAAAGGATTCAGTGCAGGAGCCTTGTTGGATCAAGTTAATAGTGCTCTATAACTGTTCTCTCACATAGTTTCTGATATTCAGCTGGAGATAAAAATCATATTGGCCATGCTGAGCCTTTTGAGGAGTGTTTCATGGAGGAGCGAGGGGTGGAACGCATGTGCTCTAGCTAGGGTGACCAGGTGTTCTGTTTTTTTTTTTTTTTTTAATCTAGTCACCCTGCCTATAGATAGAAGCAGAAGAGCTGCTTACTGGTAGAACATGTTACCAAGTAAAGGCCCACTAAAGTCAGTCAGACTGCTTCATCTCAATTAAGTGGTCTGGGTGCATTGGTCCTTTAGTTTTAAC